AATATCTAAATAGTATTTATTTCATTGCAGGGGCAAATGTGTAATTTTACTTCCAACTTGGAAATAATTAAAGGTGTTGCCACCAAGAAACAGGAAGTACCAAATAGCAATGTACTCTTGTGATGCCAATTGCTTGGCACCACATGCAATGTACATTTGCTCCGATTGTAGACAAGCAGCAATTTAATAGAACCAGTTGGCAAAGAGAAGTCAAAGTCAACAGCAATAAATAATATGCATGCAGTCTACATTCTCGCTCCTGGGGCTACTAGTGCCAGCTAATTGGAGAGCTTGATCCATGATTCGGGGGCTCTATAAGATTCCAAATGTAGAGGTGGTAGATGTCAAGATCTTTGTCAAATCTAAGACAGTTGAAGGACAGTGTCTCCCTAAGGAGACAGATTGATGATCTCCATTAATGCCACAACAGATCTGTTGAATCAGAGGATGTATTAGAGCACAATAAAGACCACAATGAGTGCATTGATGTCTCACCTCAAGCGAGTGCAAGAATGACTTTCTTCGATTCGATCCTTGCTAGATCCTGCATTGTCGAATGACTTCCATTATGTCCGAATTTTGAGATTCTGATATAGAAAAAAGATTATGAAAAAAAATCATTGGTGCACTATGTATGTTAGGTCTTCAAAGCACTAGAATTATTATTTGGACCAATTGTATTGCTGATGCATAATAACTCCACAAAACAAGCTACATAGTTCAAAGCTCAACTTTGCAGACTATTGTTATTGAAGTCTATATTTACTCGAAGCCAAACACACAAATGTGAGTAGCTAACATTTAAACATGAATGAATAAATATTACAGCAATCTTTATTCATAGAAATAGCTACAGAAAAGATGGGAGTCAGTTTAATGTAGCTCCGTAATCAGATTTCCGGTCTTATACAGCTCAACTGAATGTAATCAAAAGATCAATTGCATCTAACAGTCTTTTCTGCAAGGCCAAATAGTAGAAAGAATTCAGCATTCAGAAGGACTAAGCAAAATTACAAAACGTCGACAAAGTGTTCAAGAAAAGCAAAAGGAAAATAATTACATTTGTGAAAGATCTAGTACCTGAACTAGCACTGATATGGGATTAAGAGGCATGTGAAGCTTGCACACATTTCAACGTAAAGCATCTGTAATCACAGGTTCTTATCAATCATTACCATTAGGTATGATGCTTCACGGGTTTGCTACCTATTACCTGAAAGAAAAATAAATGCATATTGATTAATTTGACTCAGGCTACAGTTTGTACACTGAAAATTCATGCACTTAACTAAAATCTAGACTATGATGTCAAATAAGCAACTCTCTAATCATGATACATGATTACTGCATCTATTTGACATTTTAATAACTAAGAATGTTTCCATATGACCAGAATTTCAGAAATCTCCTGCAGGAATTCTACCCTTTGATGACACTCATAAGATAGTTTCCTCGATTTCGACAGTTCAAACTGATGTTTACATCAATGCACCTTAGGCATACCTGTGTGCATGATAATCCCATCATATAGTTTAATTTCAATCAAGATATTTTAGTATGGCACGCCAATGTGTCGTGTAAATTTATCTAAAATTCTGGGCTTGACTGCATTCTTGTTGCTACCATAGAGTCCACTACAGAGTCGATGCATTTCAAATTATTGCATATGAACTTTACAGCACAAATCACAAAATTGTCTAGTGTTGAAGTTTATACTTCAATGCATTGCATACTAAAACAAGAAATGGGTCAATATGCCACACCAGTAACTCGGGTGTCCATATCTGTTGACAAGAATCAGTCATAAATGAGAGGAGTAAGCAAGAAGAAAACATGTACTAAATGGCATTATAAAGGGAATTCTCATTCCACAAGTAAATCAGCAAATCAGTGGTACAAGCAAAATTAGAGCAATTGTACAAATCCACAGAGTCTTGCTGGTATTGCTGCGACACTGCCAGATGCTATATATAGGTCATACAGTGGTTAGATAAAGATGACCTTCAACTGTAGTTGGAGTTAATCTACCAAAAGCGCATACAAGAAGCAAGTTTTGTCTCTGAGAACAAAGAAATTGGTTCTCTCACACCATCTACTGTGACCATCTTCTTCTAAGTTGTTTCTTCATCCAGCAAGGACAAACAAAATAGCCAAGTGTTCACATATAGCTCTAACTTTAGCTCGTGATCTGCTTGAACTCACTGTGCTCAATACCATACAAATTTTCCCATAAACAACTTGAATGTTCATCTGAACAGAACACAAACAAGAGTCTGTCAGTTTGTGGTTGTCTCATTTACACCCCTAAACACCACTTATACTTTTGCCTTTTCCAAGTTATTATATGCGCAAGTACTGCATTTGACATAGGACAAGTTGATATGAACATTTATTTCGGAATCAAAGAAGGAAAGAGAGAGGAGGAGAAAGATAATAATCTTTTAAAAATGGAAATGACAACTACCAGACTCATTTTAACTTTAGAAGTAACTCATATGGATAAAATACTTCACACACGTATATGGAAGATGCAATTATACCATCGGAAAAGGAAAGGTGACCGGACATCGCTCATACATATACAATGTGAGTAAAAAAAAAACAAAATTACTCATGCATTCATCAATCAGTTCATGCTCGACTGATAGTCTTTTTTTTTCTTCTCATTTATATAGACAACCTATATATATAAAAAAAAACAAATATAAAAATAAAATAAAGTAAAGAAACTAACATTTCATAAATGAAAGTATATCAACATATATTTTCATATATTTTTGTAAATATATCCATTCGATGGGCTTTCACCTCCAAGAAATCTTCAATTAAGAAAAAGACTTTCTTGTATAGACGAAACCTTCAATAAAGATTATAATCTTTAATCAAAATTAAATTTCAATTTCCTCCATTTTTCCCTTGTTTTCTTCCCTTTTTTTCCTTTTCTTGAATAATCTTGAAAGCTAAACTTGAACCATGGGTAATTTTGTCATGTGGCACGTATGACATTTGTAATATAACCCTAAACTATTCAAATTCATTAAAACTAAAAAATAAAGTTAAATGGTATCGCATCGACATTCCTTCATAAAATAATCGTAAACATCTATTATCTAAGACAAGCATACTGGTCACTGCACCACAACTACTCTGAGTTTTAGGAAACTTTCACTCTTGTAAGTGGCATACGGCAGCAAACAGTATCATTATGATGACACAAAAAAAAGTGGACTTCCAATTGCTTCTAATTAAAATTAGTTTCTTACTTGTAACTCATGAGACCCAATCAATACGACGGTGACCAGATTACTTGTACACTCTCTTGGACTAGGATATGCAGAATCGAACCAAAAATGCATTGATGATTACAACTTGCTTCCAAATCCAGCTCCTTTACACATTTTATTCTTGCGATTTGCACAAAACAAGTTGTAATCGACCGAGTTCTTCTTGATTCTCCTCAAGAAGGCAGATCTTGAAATCCAATCTTGCAGCGAGTTGAATGACACCAGCCAATTAGATTAGGAAAAAGAAAAGAAGCCGCATCATCCAAGCACATACCGAGATCAAGACAAATGGAAACCTAGAAGAACCATGCTAACGACCTGACAACCAGAGAACACAAGCACGGAGGAGCTTATCAGAAAGGTTACCTCTGCGACCGACGCGCCCAAATCATGACGAAAGGAGCCTCGAGCCGCGGATGAAAGCGACGGAGCAAAGGACGATGGCAACGAAGGCGAAAACCCCGAGAACAAACATGAGAGATATCCCGGCGACCGCGAGGTCCGCCGCCAGCTGGAGGAGGGGGAGAATGCTCGCCATCTCCATCAACTCCTTCATGTGTTTGTGGAAATGACCACAGACGAGTCGGCCCCCCGCGATCGCTACATCACATTGCACCGTTCCCAAACGACACGTACGCTTACAGACATAGTCGTTAGATATAGATTTATTGGGTGCCCTTCGCACGCATCTCAAAGCATCCATCACATCACCACGTGTGAAACTGAAAGCTCTGTTTATTTTTTTTTTTAACATTATCCATTTCATTTATATTTACATCATTTATATATATATATATATATATATATATATATTCGAAAAAATTTCTCTTCTTACGCTTTTTAAAAGTATCCCCAAATTCTAAAATTTTCTAGTATTATTTTTTTTATCTAATACCTGAAATATTTTTTTCTCTTTGTTTTTTTCTTTTCCTATCGACCGGTTCATGGGATGAACCGATCTAGTTATAATATTTTTATACCGTGTTATAATTTTTTAGTAATTATTCTGATATAATTTAAATTTGCTCTTCAATTTTCTCCATGTAGCAAACTAGTGGTACAAATATTACAGAGAGAACAGGCTTCCCTATGTGATATCAGCTTGCATCAGGGCTATGAGAGATTACTATTTGGTGTTTGTGAGCTTGGAACATTAGATGAGGCACAAAGAACAATCACTTTGAGAGAGAGGATTGGGTGGAAATGTTTAACTGATCAAACTTGATACATGGATCAAAAGGACTGAGGCACAAACCAAGACTTCAGTCTTCTCCATATGAAACCACCAGAGAGCAGACATGGAAGGAACAAATTTGTATGCTTAGGAACAAATCATGGCCACATTCTGCAGGATGTAATCTGAAACAGGGCATAGCATTCATGCTCTAAGAACTGCCATGAAGGCATTTCCTTTTGAGGTACTGCTGCATGATCACTCTGTTGCCCTTTAGGTAGAATGAGTTTGGAGAAATTTCCATCAGTCTATAATTGCTCTTGAACTTGTGATTTTAGTGGATGCAGATCGATCAGGTCAGTGTTTCTGAATCTTGTTAGATCATGCAACTCAAATTAGGTGGAATTGTTTGAGACAGGCTAATGCTCATGCCGCACAAGAAAGTAAAGGAAGAACACGAAAAACGAGCCCTCTCCCCTCGTCGAAGCAATCCTGTAGTTGCAGTGGCCTGTCACACATCTGGTCCAGTGGAAGAAGAAGGAAGCTAATTCAATTCGCTGCAAGGTTCTCAAGTTTCCTCCGGAGCTCAGTGTTCTCATCTCTCAGCTTCTCAATCTCGGAGTTGATCTCATCACGCTGTCTCATCACACGGTTTAGCTGGTCGAGGAGCCGGCGGTGCACCGACTGGAGATACATGACCTGCGACCTCAGCTCACTCAGCTGCTTCTGCTTCCTCATCCGCGACCGGCGAGCCGACTCCCTGTTGGATTTCATCCTCCTCTTCTTCCTCTCCTCCGCCAAGCTCGCTTGGTGGTCACCTGCCTCATCTGAGGTTGCACCAGAACCGAAACAGGAGCTTGGAAGGCCGAGGTCGTGCATCATTGGCACGGCCTGGAGCTGTGCCAGACGAGGTCCAAAGAGACTTCCACAACCGAAGGAGGTGACGCAGTTCTGAGGCATGCCGTAATGGGCTGGAGAAGAAAGTGGATTGGAAGGTGAAAGGTAGTGAATGCTGGCAACCTCTCCTTGTTGCATGGTGAAGAGAAAGAAGTGCTAGGAACAAACGAGAGAGAAGGGGAGGAAAGGTTGAAGGATAGGGGAGGATAATAAATAGTGCAATGGCGAGTTAGGGAGAGACCCACTGCAAGCACTTTTAAATAGAGCAATTGGCCTACTTGCATCCATGGAGATGAAGCTGATGCATGCAAGCCTCTCATGTATGTGTTCACCTAACATACAGAGCAGCATCTCAATTATGGCTGTCCGATCGTGATCAAACAGGAGTGATGTGCAAATGCTGCACCCACCCATGACATCACAGCTTCATGGTGGTGTTACCATTAAACCTACGGCTGATTGGGTAACAGTGACTGGCATTTGCCACACAGCAGGGCACTTATGTCATGATGTTGCTGGGTGTCTGTGGATCATGGATGATGGGATCACAGAGCTTCCAGCATGCAAGATTGTGGCCATGGAAGCAGTGTGAGGTAGTGGTTGAGTGTTAGGACACATAACTGCCCTCATGGTGTGCCATTTTGTCGAAAGAGAATGGATGTTTTAGGAGGTAAACATGAAAGAAGAGGTGTAGAGAGAGAGAGAGAGAGAGGAGGTGACTAAGTTTAGGTGTGATGATGATGACTAAGTGGCAGTCTA